CAAGAACTTATGGTAATTAAAGTAGAAAACCGGGGGTTGGGGCTTAAGAGATTAATGAACCAATTAGTGGGCTGAACTTTGGTCACCACCAGTTCAATAGCCCTGGACTAGGGGCTCACTGGTTCCAGTTTTCTGGCCGATCTCCAATCTTTAATAAGTCTGACATGCCGATTCCGATTTTGGCCTATACAGATTTTTTTAAATAGCTGACACTGTCAGATGTTATTAAGTCACAACACAACTTCAATGTTATTTTATTGAAATACATTGAACAACACCCTTGAAACTAGGTAAAAAATAAATTTCATCAATCTGGATCAATTTTCGTTWAAATTTGGGAAAACCTATTCATAAGTCTTGAGATTGATTTTTCCCCATTGTTGTGTGCCAAGTTAGAATTAGTTTATATTTGCAGAATTAGTTCCTATGAGAATGTCTTCTATATCAAAATAAATGTGTTACTGCATGATAACTAATTTAAAAATCAAACTGAATTGTGAATCATGAATCAAATTGAATTGGGCCACTGTGAATCGAATCAAATTGATTTCGGAAATCTGAATCGATACCGAGCCCTACTTGAAACAATACAAATTTGTTTTAACTGGATATTAAGTAGTGCTCACAGCAGAGGTAAAGGAGACAGATGCTGAATTTCAGACCTTTGTCGAGGTAGAGAAACTGGTCTTTTTCACCAATCTTATCTAAGGATTGGTCGATGTCCGATTTCACAAAATTAAGGAAACCAGCCATAGTTCAGACTTTTGTATAAAAAAAATTGATATGGGTCATATAAGAATGGAAAAATAAAAATCTGTTTTTACTTCAGTCTACAATGTGAACGTAGCCCTCCAGGGGTAGACATGAGGATATTTTTCAGGTTGTCCAGCGGACAAAACCTGGTTGTCTGCAAAACATTTTGATCAAGGTCTTTTTTATTATTATTTTTTAACATAAAACACAAAAAAAGAACAGACTTACAAAAACACAAAACAAAACACACACACCCAAAATCCCTCCCATCCCTCCCCTCCTATACTGGATCTATTATCTAAATGAAACCGTCTTGTATTCATATATCAGTAAATACAAGGCACAGGTTTGTGTACAAAGAACCAATATTTGACCTTTACACAAAGTTATTTGAGGAAATTTTTTCCACGTAGGACATAAA